TAGATACTCAACGCCACTGGTAGCTATGATGTTAATTTAAGATAACCATAGCAATTTAATAAAAAAGAAGATTAAAAGGCAGCATAAGTTGAATAAAAAACAAGGGAAATCATGAAGTTGCAATAGCTTTTATGAGTAAATGAATGGAATCTCATCGTCTCCAGATGGGAAGTTTAAGTTCTCAGTGGACAATATAGGTCTCCACAGACAGACACGACAATGGCACAGGGAGAGAGCCTGTTTTTACATTATTATTGAATCCTTAAATTTGAAGTGTGCATGAGATAATCACAAGAGTTTTATTACCCCCGGTCTTAAGATAGGGAATCAGAAATAAACACACAGGCTCGTTAGAGTAGTATATACAAAGAATTAGGGTGAGACACAGAGTTGAGAGGCAAATAAAAGTTATCTGACCTATGGGCTTTCTAACCTTTAGGGATTATTTTCTTTCTTGTTTTTTAATTGTACTTTAGATGAAGGTTTACAGAACAGACTACCCTCTCATTAAACAGTACACATATTTTTTTATGACATTGGTTAACAACCCCATGATATGTCAACATTGTCCCTTCTCAACCTTGGGTTCCCTATTACCAGCTTTCCTGTCCCCTCCTGCCTTCTAGTCCTTGCCCCTGGGCTGGTGTGCCCCTTTAGTCTCATTTTGTTTTACAGGCCTGTCTAATCTTTGGCTGAGGAGTGACTCAATTACTGAGCTAAAAGGGTGTTTCGGGGCTATACTCTCGGGGTTTCTCTAGTCTCTGTCAGGCCAGTGTCTGGTCTTTTTTTGTGAGTTAGAATTTTGTTCTACATTGTTCCCTAGCTCTCTCTGGGGACCTCTATTGTGACCCCTGTCAGAGCAGTCACTGGTGGTAGCCAGGCACCATCTAGTTGTACTGGACTCAGTCTGGTGGAGGCCGTGGTAGTTGTGGTCCATGAGTCCTTTGGACTAATCTTTCCCTTGTATCTTCTTTTCTTCATTCTCCCTTGCTCTTTGAGGGTTATTTTCTTAAAAGACAAGCAACTAGACAAAGGGACCCAAAACCTATCACACTGATTTGGAAACCAAAGGACCCTACAATCTATCACTTGTCAATCACTGTGGATATATTTATGCCAGTGGGAAGAAAAATACACAGGACTTCCCACTGCCAATCATGTCCCAATTAATTGAGAACTGTGTGGAGGAAAAAAAAAAAAACTCTATGAAAATATAGTTTATTCGATCCTAAAACATGCCAAGGTAATGCTGAATTATGTTGGCAAAGTTTGTGGGTTGAATTGTGTCCGCCCAAAAGATATGCTGAAGTTTGAACACCCTGGTACCTATGAATGTCATGTTGTTTTGAAATAGTTAAAATGAGCTCATACTGGATTAGGGTGGTTCCTAATCCAATGACTGGTGTCTATAAAATGAGGGAAATTTGGACATAGAGACACTGGGGAAGAATGCCATGTGACAACAGAGGTAGAGATTGAAGTGATGGATCTACAAGCCAAGGAACGCCAAGGATTGCTGGCAACCACCAGAAGCTAGGAGAGTAGTATGGAACAGATACTCCCACAGAGCTCTCCAGAAGTAACCAACCTTGCTGACACCTTGATTTCAGACTTCTAGTCTGTGAGAGAACAACATTTCTGTTGTTTTAAGCCACTCAGTTTGTGGTATTAAGTTTCAGCAACTCTAGGAAACTAATGCAGCAAGTCTTGAAGTATTTTTAAATTCTGTTTTATATCATAAAAGACAAGGCAAAGCTTCAGGGATTGTAGCTTAAAGCTCATGGTTTTGGAGAAATTACTTTGTGATGCCAAAATAAGGCTCTACTCTGGGAGCCAGCAAACTTTTTCTATAAAGGGCTAAGTAGCAAATGTTTTAGGCTTTGTAGGTCATAAGGTCTCTGTCGTAACTACTAGCTTTGTCACTGTAGCATGAAAACAGCCATAGACAATACCTAAGTGAATGGGCATGGCTGTGTCCCAGTAAAGCTTTATTTACAAAATCACGTGGTGGGCCAAATTCTGCAGGCTGTAGTTTGTTAATCTTTGCTCTAATGAATAAAAAGCTACCTTGTTCATATATCAGGAGAGAGTACAGGAAGAAAAAAAAAAGAGAGAGAGAGAAGTGTATTATAAAAAGTATATAAAATTAGTGATCCGTGGGAAGGGTTAACCATTTAAGACAATAGTTCCCAAATGTGGCTATTCATCAGAACCCAGGAAGTGGATTTCCAAGTCTGACCTCCACACAGTTCAGTAGGTCTAGGAATCTTTTTATATTCCCCAGTGAGACTTATTGGTTTAAAAATACCAAATGACAGTAAAAATGTGTTGGACTAAAAGAACAACCTGCTAGGTGCCATGGAGTCAACTCTGACTCATGGTGACCTCATGCGTGTCAGAGTAGAACTGTGTCTTTATAAAACCATAGGGTTTTCAATGGCTGTTTTTTCAGAAGTAGATCACCAGGCCTTTCTTCAGGAGCCTCTGGGTGGACTTGAACATCCAACCTTTCAGTTAGCAGCCCAGTGCATTAACCGTTTGCATCAACAGGGACTCTGGATTAAGAGAAAAGGGTGGGAAAATGGAATAATAAGGATTAACTCTCATGAACGAACCATGTGGAAGAACTTTCTTGATTTTAAAATCCAGGAGCGTCCACATGCCAGCCAGAGATCGCCAAACGGAGATGAAGGACAAAGGCCTTGACAAAGGAAGGGTGATGGTGAGGCCCTGGGGTTCATGGAGGGTAGTAGATCGATTGCTCATGGCACTCATTCTTGGCTTGCAGCAGAGAGCTTAGTTTCAACCCTGGCTTTCCCAAAAACTAGCATATGACCTTAAACAAGATTCTTAGCCTCTCTGGGCCAACGTTTCCTCATCTGTAACTGAGGGACCTGTGTTTGATGATCTATAAACCTCTTCCAGCAGCATATCTGGGATTCTATAAACACAGAAGATCTATCAAAGTGGAGTCTGAGAAATTCTCGTCTTTTGTCCCTTCTCTTATGAAATTGAACACAAGTGCTAAATAGTGAGAAAAAAATTACAAAGAATGACATGCACTACCTTTCGGCAGGATTTTTACAGAATCGCAAAATCAAGACTAGCACAAACTTTGGTAGGGCACCCAGCTTAGATAAAAGGTACCCAGTTCACTCGTCTGAGTTTCCTTTTGTGAAAGAACTTTTAATAATCACTCTAGGTAACTTATTAATTCCACTTTTCCAGAGACACTTCATTGGTCTTCTGGGTGACTTTACTGAGAGCTCCTCTTCAGTATGCCGTTAAAGATACCAGTTTATTATAAGCTGGGGCTGGCCAGAGGCTGAACAAAGGCCATGCAAGTGACTCCTGTGCATGAGCATTCAAAAGTACAGCAGAGGTTCTGCCCTTTAGGGAAAATATTTTATGTTTTACATATAGCAATCTCTACATCATAAGATTAGAGCTGAGTAAGATGATATTCAAGAGGATGAGGACAGAGGAAGAGACGGGGGTTGCTGGAGAAGGATGTACATATATGGTACACACTTTGATTATTGATTTTGTGCTAATTAAAATTTCATCGAAAGGCTGTGTTGGTGGTGCTGAAGGTCTTCAGAGTCCACTGATGTTAAGGAAGAACTCCGAAGAGTTTACTTCCATGTTCAACCTCTTGGCTTTGTCTTCTCTTCATTATATATATTTATACAGTACATACATTACATACAGCTCCTAATCTCTTGCACTTAACCGCTATTTCTAAAAATGTTGCACTAAGGATTAATGCTTCATGCCAATTTTTGTCTTTTTACGAATTAGAAATAACTAATATTCTGGGACCACTGTGATTTTCAACTCAAGAAATTACATAATCAAAATGAAGGGAAAATGAATGTTCACATTACAACCTTCCAAAAAGAAAATTAAAACTCCCTGCTGACTACAGTAAGCTCTGCTACAACTGCGACATGCATGTTCCTAAAAGTCTCCACTCTGCAAAATCACTTAATAAAATCATTGGGCTTATGGGAAAAATGTGACCAGAGTACAATATCCAAAAAAGTCATCACTGACACATAAAAAAATAGGAACCTAATAAAAATATTAGCACAGTTATAAATATGTTAAATGGTTAGGAAATACATAAATACCATAGTAAACATGACACTTCATCTTGAAAAAGACCTGAAGTTTACCGGTAGTAGTGGGTTTTGGAAGGCTTGCAGTTCTTAGGTCATTGTGAAGTGGTGGAAGTCTACTTGAAATCAGATAGAAACTTGTAATTCCAGATGTGGATGGGTGTGGCTCCAGCACATGTGGAGAACCGAGGTAGCTGTTAGCTGTTTGAGGTGTTTTGTGTATTCCTACCTGGCTCAGTTCAGCTGGGTAGTTTTCTGTGTTTACCTAATGTTTCTTGCAAACAAAATGGAGCATCGGCAAATGAGAAATTTTCATCATACTCAGTGTTCCCTAATATTTCAATTGTGTTAGAATAAATGTGTTTTCAAAACAAGTGCTATAGCAGAACCATGTTGGCAGAACTAACCAGCCACCAACAACAATGAAATGCTATAAAAAAGCCTTCTATCATCAATGGTATCCCAATAAATTATCAAAAAATGCTGACACACAGAACTATAGTTGGTTTAAAAAAAAAAAAAAAGAGGAATTAAGCCTCAACTATATAACTTCATAGGGTATTCATCGAAGAGATTTTTTTTTTCCTCTGCTTGTTCATCTTTCAGTAAGTCAATTTTGTCATGGAAGTTTCTATTATTTACTAATAAAATATTTCTAGACAGAGAGACTGCATATTATCACAGGCTGAAGCTCAAAAAGTGAAAAGATTTAATTTCATGTTTACTTCTTCAAGGATTAGCTACAGATACTCTCAGTACGGAGTACGTAAAATTTGTTTGCAGCAGAGAGAAACACAATCGAAACAGAGGAAACAAAGGATTCACCTTGTGAGTCATGAAAGTGCTTTATTTTATAAAGCCCTGCTCCCATCTGGAGTGTATTTTTAGCACTAGGAGATACAATGCAAACTTCCTCACTCTGTCCAAATAAAGTTTCTTAACATGAATGAATGACAGAGACTGTTACAGACAAAAACAAAGCGTTTTGTAAACTTCCAAAAGCATACAGATTGGCCACAAAGGAAATAATTATTCACATAATGTATGTGTACCTTATCTTTACTTCAGGGTCTCTCTTTTGAGCTCTCAGGCGAAAGAAGCCACAGTATAACTTCGGAACACCGAAACTGGTTTGATGCCAGGATTAATGGGGGTGGGGTAGGGGGTCAAATCATAGTATCAATTCATTTAAATACATAAGATACAGATTTATACAACTATATTACAGTGGAGTTAACATCGTTTCTTGAGGGTAACAGATCTATGTAAATTCAGTAGAGAGTAGTAGAGATGGCACTGCTGCTGGCTTCCAAAGGTACTGTGATTTGCTACTCAACTCGTGCTTTCTGAAGTAAACCCACATACATCGTGCATAACTGAAGTCTTAATAGCACTGAAGTTAAGTTACTGGAAGAGGCATTATGGCAGGTGGGGTTTGTTGAGTTATAAGTAATTATTGAAGGGCTTTTTTTTTCTTTCTGAAACTGCCTACAAAAATCATCTCATGTTTTAAACAAAGAATTTCAAAGGCACAGCTTTAGCACAGTGTATAAGTTGATAACCTACTCTAAGCAAGTCTAATATTGTAGCTCAATGCCTTTCAGAAAATGCAGGAAAGGTTGGTAAATACATGATTGATACTGGAAATTTATAACTTGATTAAACACAATCAGCACAGTTTAGGGCAATGAATTTACATAACCAGACTTGGGTTAAATATTTTTAAAAAATCATCAGGTTGATAAATGTATATCTGGAGGAAACAAAACCACTCTTTTCCCTTTATTGTAAAGTATGCTCTACCATGGACTTTGCATAAAGACATTCACTCAAAAACATGACTGCATGAGACATCTCAAAATACGACAAACATTATTTCACCTATACTGTAAAATGACTTTACATGTAAACTTCAAAAACCACACGCTGTACATTAAATTTTTTAGATTCAAAAATATCCCTGTTTTCCTAATAATGTAAACAGTAAAATTGAGGGTTTCAGTTTAAAGGGATAATTCATAACAAAATACCACTGGTGAAACAATGGTCAAACATAAACATCTCAGAATTCAGATTTGCGTCGTTCGGTAACAGGAGAATTGAGTTCTACCACTTGGCTCACCTTCCCGCTGTGGGAGATGTAGATACCGTTGCCCAAAACTATGCATTTTCCAGCTAAGTTTTATTTGTATTTTTAGCATTAATTCCTATATTGCAACATAAGAGTGTAACAATGCAGTACGTCCCAGGTAAGAAAAGAGAAGGAAGCAGTTTTCCTGGACATAAGTTACCGAGGTGGAAATGTACAGACAGAGTCAGTAGGGCATCAGCTTCTTGTCGGAGGAGGGGTGGTCGCACCCGGGCCGGGGGTCCTGATGCACTGGGCAGAGGCAGAGCCCTGAAACAGTGCACCCAGGGGATACCAGCACCCCCCGTCTGGTGCCAAGGGGCTCGTGTTACAACTATTGAGGAGTGTCAGCGTGCGGGGTAGAAGTGTAACACTGGCAGTTTTTTTTTTCCTTTTTAATCATCATCATTATCTTCATTATTATTATGAATACTGTCTTAAATCTTTCAACTAAAAAAAAAAAAAAAAAGCTGATCCACAGTTTATCACGGGATGCCAACATGGTTGGTCTGACATGCATTTCCTCCTTCCCTACATGTACTCATTCATTCATTCATTCCTTCATTCATTCATTCTGCCACAGCTGGGGTCAGAGGGCTATCACAACACACTCTGACCGAAGCTGATCTGTTTTAATTAATTAATTTTTCTTTTTTTAAAATGCACACATTAAAAAAAAGTCAGAAATAGCTAGAACTATGCTGTGAAATATCAGGTAGCTGTTAAAGCGAGTGAGTAGTCCCCAAATCAGTCATCTTGGCCTGAAGATGTAAACAAGGAGGTTTGCTTCCTGTAAGATGAGTGCTTCGCTGAGTTTGGTTTTCATTTTTCCTACACTGAAGCCACCTCTGTTCTTCCCACAGTGCATGTCCGTCCAAGGCAGCCTGGGAGGTTACGTCAAGATGTGCCCAATAAAGTCCAAAAAGCGCTTTGAATACTGTTCTGGGTTCACCGTTGAGATCTCTGCACCAGCCTGGGCAGTAAAGGAGAAGAATATTGATATAATGCTTACAACTTCCAAAAATTACTACTCAATATTTACAGCTATTTCCAGCTGCAGCTAAATATAAAGCTAATAATTTTCAAATCTATGCAGCTTCTGCCCTTAGCACCTAGCTATTGTGGCTGGATAATCAAAGTTCTTATGAATCTGTGTCTGAAATGAGGCAGAGAGTGGCAGGAACAATAGATGCTATTATTACATATATTGTGATTGCTGAAACTTAAAAAAACTAAATTCACTGCATCTGGAATGTTTCTATCAAACAGTGAAATCTGTATGGAACTACATTCAGCAGCCACAAAGATAATACTTCTGCTTTTCAAGTAAGCAGATTGGAGACACCTTGAGAATGACATAAACATTTGGGTAAAGGCAAACTCAGATGATGATGATGTAAGGACTGTGCTAATTTTTCAGGACCCTTTTAGCTTAAGACAGAGGTAAGCGGCTGAGTGCTCAAAAATGAGGAGGGACAACAGCAGCAACAGGTTCCAATGACAGCTGACCCAAGGCCAGCGTGGAGCTGCCTCAGGTGTTCTTTCCCGGCTCCATAACCAGGTGAGACACAATACTGCATCTCCCTGTGATGGGAGGGGGCTGGCTTTTCTCAGCAGCAGGGCACTGGGGTGCCATTGTTCCTTTCACGGAGACAGTGTTGAACAAGGAGGTGTGGCCCTTGCAGAAGTTCAGGCGGGGAGTTTTACTACTAGATGCACTTGCTGGCGATGAGACTATAGGGAGTGGCTGGCCAGTTTCCTGAGCTGCAAAGGGCAAGACCAGAGTTTTACTAAGTCACCAGGTGCTATTTTTAGATACTCATGCTCGCTGGTCCTGGGTGGGGTAAATGATTAGGGGCTGGACTACTAACCAAAAGGTTGGTGGTTCAAATACACCCAGTGGCACCTTGGAAGTAAGGCCTAGCGATCTGCTTCCAAAAGGTCATAGCCTTGAAAACCCTATGGAGCAGTTCTCCTCTTGGAATCGACTCTATGGCAACTAACAACAACAACACGCTCCCTGGGGAATGTGTCATTTCCATGTCTGGCCTGGGCTGCTGGGACCTCCACGGAGGAAGCCAGGTCTTGAAGGCAGAGAATGGTTCCTGATAGCAGCTCAACACAACATTCCTTTGCTAAGAGTAATGTCATGTTCTTGCAAACTGCCCACAATTTTAGGTCATGTGGTATATTATGGAGGCTGAACTGGTGACTTACCGGGGAGACTAAAATGGAACCATATTTGCTATCTGCGATGGTACATTTCACATTTCATGTGACATTACAACATGTTTGAGGATGGGATGGGACTAAACTTTTACAAGGCATCTGCACCGAATTCAGCCTACTCACCTTATGTATTCCCTCATAAAACCACATGTATTCTCTCATAAAGCCTCATCAGCGAGAGAGTAGTACCCCTTTACTAGCTGAGGAAACCAAAGCTCCAGAAGTATTTCTTTAAGGTCATATAGCTGGGAAGGTGAAACAGGGATTTCAACCCACCTCTGTCTTTGTAACATACCCATGGTTTCCCTAGAGGTGAATGTAGGAATTACCATGGAGCCTTTTAAAGAGTCCTCCTCTGACTTCTTGAACTGGATTCAGAATCCAGGAAGGGGGTGGTTCATCTGGGATGTCCGTATTTTACAAACAGTACTCAGAAGATTCTGATGCCAACTGCTGGGTAAGATCTACTGGGTACTCACTCTTAATGATGTGGGATGTCTGACGTGTTCAGTGGGCTGGGTGAGGTCTTGGTGCACGCTCTGCACACAGCAGGCGCACCATAAGTAGTTGCTGACAGTGTGACTGAAAATGTTCTTTGGCAAATGGAATATGGTCTTAGGCTGGCTCTGTTTCAGGAATGACAGGCTGTTTGCTTTTAAAATAAAGAAAAAGAGCCTTTAATAGGGTTTGATTGTTCTGGTTTGTATCTGCTGGGGAAGCACCTCTCCTCCAGCACTAACAAACCAGGGCACAAGTTCATCTGTGTGGGATGGGCTCTCTGATTTCCTTACTTCATCTGGAAAGCCAGAGTGAGTTCCTGTAACACAGGCATTGCTGGATACTTAGCAAACTGTGATGCTCAACCAGGCAGTGCATGTGGCTGGCAGTGTGGGTGGCTGGCAGTGCAGAGGGGTGGGCAACATTAGGTGGTGGGTAATACGGAGCAGGCAGCCAGGCTGGGGCCTGGAAGGGAACATCTCCACCACTCACGAGCTATGTGACCCTGGCAAGTTACCCTGCAAGTGGTCTTCCTCAGTTTCTTCAACTGTCAAATGGGGATGACTCTAGGATCTCTCTTACAGTCTTGTTGGGGGAACTCAACAGGTTAACGTTTGCCTAGTAACAAAAACTACAACAGTTGTTGTCGAGTCAATTCAACTCATGGTGACCCCATGTGTGCAGAGGAGAACTGTATTCCATAGGGTTTTCAAGGCTGTGACCTTTCAGAGGCAGATCATCAGGGCCTGTCTTCCAAGGCACATCTGGATGGGTTTGAACTGCCAACCTTTCAGTTAGCAGTCCCGTGTTTAACTGTTTATGCTACCCAGGGACTCCTAGAATAGTGATAATCCACAGCAAACATGATAAAAGTGGGGATTAATATTATTAAACTTTGATCTTACACTCAAAAAATTTTGTAATAGAAAAATAGAATTCACTGGGAGGAAAGAAAAATAATACTGCATTATTTTGGAAGTATCTTAAGCAGGTAATAGTGCTTTAGCCTGAACATTTCATATTTAAACACTTAACTATCTTCAGCACTTTTATCTTTAAACATTTTTTCAAACAGAAAAGAATGTACATAGTATTCTAGTCATGCAAGTGTCTATTAATGTCCCTGGTGTGTAAAGATGAGCAGAGGCTGAGTTTCAGTGACTTGCGGAAGTCGTAGGGAGTTGCAGTAAGACAGGATTAATGGGTTGGCATTTGCTGGCTTGAATCTTGCACTCAGAACACGACCCCTTGCAGGTAATGGGAATCACTAAAGGACTTTGGAACAGCTCGCTTAGGAAGGAGCCAACCTGGAGCTGGTCGCTGTTCCACAGATAGCATTGAGGGCCCACAGAGAGTAGAAGAAAACAGAGTGGGGTACTTACGCCATGCTTAACGGTTTTTGCGGCGTGGGCAGCTTTCTTTTTTGCATCATAATGAGTAAGAATGTCAATAATTGCCATAAAGTACACTTCTTTCCTAGGCGAGTCTGTAAAAGGATGAGAACAGTGACTGGGGGGAAGCGCAGGCTGGAGGAGAAGGGTGGACGGATTCACTGGAGTGGTGATGGCAAGGGGTCCAAAAATGAAAGCAATAGAGACTTTTTTACAAATTCATATAACTCCTCCATAGTTCTACTAAAAAGTCAGCTTAACTCTTGTACCTGGTCCTCTTTCAATGTAAAAAGTAAAATAAAGAACATATTCAATGCCTCAGATTATTAACAGTGGAGGTCCAAGAGTGGGATTGAGTGTTTCTTTTTTTTGCTAATCTGTATTTTCTCGAATGATTATGTATTGCTTTAGTGTAAAGAAAAAAAAACCCTATTTTTAAAATACAGACTCTATAAAACAAGTAGAACTAATTATGCTCATTAATCCTTTTCTACCATGAGATGCAACTGCTCATAATCAATTCTCATTGGATATAGTATCAGAACTGGATAAATGCACATATTACCTTCTAATATCTATTTCCTACAGATTTTCACAAATATGATTCTGTTTCATTTACAAAGAGAGTACATTTAACTATATCTAATTTTTTTGTGTTGAAGAAACAGTTTTGCCGAGCCTAATAAAAATGAAATAAAACACAATTCAAACCCACTTGGTTGATATGCCAACTGAGATTTTTTTTTAAAACAATGAAGAACCATAATTTTTATTACTGAGAAAATAAGAGGTCTGCTTATAATTATTATTTTTTTTTTATACATAAGTAATAACATAGAATATAATATTCCTTCAAATATCCAGTCACCTAGATATTGATTAACATTGACCCCACCCTACAGCCAAGGGCCCCAGACCTCTGAGAACAGCAGAGGGCAGGCCTAGCCGCCAATCAGAGATTTCCTTCTTCACACACTGGGGCATGGCTTCAGGGCTCCTAAGAAGGAAAGGGCTGTATAGGCCATGATATGCCTGCCCTATAAGGTTCCCACGTGGGACTCTGACTGGACCACATGCATGTACCCTGCTCAGGACAGATTTATGATGCCTTTGACTCATATAAAACTAAAGACAGCTTATATATTTGTTGTTGTGATCTGCTGAGTTGATTCCGACTCCTGCGACTCTCCATGGCTGAGTAGAACTGCCCCATATTATTTGCTAGGCTGAATTTTTACATCAGCAGATTGCCAGGTCTTTTTTCCTGTGGAGTGGCTGGTGGGTCTGAATCGCCAGCCTTTCAGTTAGCAGCCAAGTGCTGATCCATTGTGCCACCAGGGTTCTCCCTCTATATATATATACACCCTCCTCTCGTACAGACATATGTACATATATGCATATACACAGATAATATTATTTAAAAACATTTCTTATATATGTTATTTACATTTATATAAATATGCATGTGTGTGTGTTTGTGTATACATATGCGCGCGTGTGTGTTTAGTATATATACAAGTTTCTGGTTTTACTCTATAACATCAACATCACAAAATTCAACGACCTCATCACATTTCATTTTAAAACCAGGGAATTATAGTTACCTTCAATATACTCTAGTTCCCAAAATCAACTCATTCGGACTCTGGAGAATGAGTCTTGCAGGGCAGTACACTTATAACTGGGGTTATGATTATTGGTAAATAATGCAAAAAATCAAACCACTCCATATATAAAGAGAGTTTATAATTAATTAAGCTTACTTTCATGGCATTTTATTCCATAAACATCAATGTTTGGATCAAATTCCCCCGGAGCCAAGGGTGGTGAGCTGTTCAGCGTATTTCCTGGACTGTCTGGAGGGGTTCCAACAGGGTGGGTCCCGTCGCTTTCCCCTTCCTCCTCCCAGTCATTCACTTCACACTCAACCTCTTCTTGTTCTGCTCTCTCAACATCATGAATTCCCACCAGTAGGCTGTAGTCCATGAGCTTTAACTGGGCAAGAAACTGGAGGGTGGGGCATGACATGATCAGTTATAAAACTTAAACAAAAACCAAGATTAAAAAAAACAAAACAAAACAATGTTAGGAAGAACAGGAAAAGGGGAAGGCTGTGAGTAAAGGGGCAGGAAAGGTGAGGAGAGAGCTTCCCTAAAAGGTGGTGTAGAGCTGGGCGTGGCTGGAGCTATGATGTTCTCAGACTCCCAGGCAGCTTCCCCAGCCAGAAACGCAGCCTCACGCTTTCGGCTGGCTCACAGCAAGTATTATGTTCCCTGAAATGCAATGCTGGATGGTAAGAGGCACGCATTTATCACATCAAGGATGGATTATACCAAAGAGCAGAAAGCATGACTGGCAAGAAAAAGACATTGAGACAGGGAAGAGAAAGTTTCTCCCAACAATTAACATCAGCTAATGGCAAAAAACTGGGACCTCCAGAGTAGTTTCCAGCAGAGTCTCTCAGAATAGTTTGCGAAAGTACTTTGCAATTCAGCACACTCCACTGAGGAGATTATTATGCTGCTGATCACAAATAAGAGCTCAATGTCTCAATCAACTAGCAAATGCACTGTGTCACTGCTCTGGTGAATAATACAGGCCTTCTGTCCTTCTTGGAGCCCTGGTGGCGCAGTGGTTAAGCGTTTGGCTGCTAACCAAAAGGTCGGCAATTCGAATCCAACAGCCACTGCTTGGAAACCCTATGGGGCAGTTCTGCTCTGTCCTAACTGGTCACTATGAGTTGGAATCGGCTCAATGGCAACGGGTTTTTTTTTTTTTTTTTGGTTCTGTCCTTCTTATGGCTGCAGAAGGTGGTTTGCTTTCCATGACGCACCTCAGGTCCAGGATTCCCATTCTCTCTCCCTCTCCTGTTTCAGCCAAGGCTAGAATGTAATGTGGGGGCAAGACAGCTCTGTGGGCTTGGCTGTTCTTGTCTGCCAAGTTCTCTTTTTGACATTGCCTGCCATGATGTTTCTTTTTCCTTCTTTTTGAGTAAATGCACCCAGATACATATCTTAAGCACAACGTCCTACTTGATCAGTTAAAATGTGGACGGTATTATTAAGGGCAAAGTGTGGCAGCCCATCTGCTGGTTGGAACTAACAGGACCCTGTCTCCCCTGCTGGCTGGCTCCATCCAGGACAATTCAGCTCTGAATCTCGCCAAGTGGGCCTAGGAGGCGCGTGGCCCTGACTCTTGAAGAACACGGTGCCAGCCCCACTTGGCTGAAGGGGAGCAGCTGACTGGCCTCTTGTTTACTCTGGAAAACCTTTACACGAAGGGCAAGCATACGAAAGTGCACGTCTTGAAGTTCTGGCTGAAAAAATCAATCCAGTGAGACCCGGAGAGCCTTTCTTTTTTCCGAGCCTGTCAGGAGGCAGCTCTGTCTTAGAGCTGGAAGAACAGCCACGTCCCCTTAAAGACAAGGAGAGGCGCTTCAGGCACAGGGCTGCTCCGGCTGACCTCTCTTGGGGAGAAATGCACTGCCCAGCTGTTGCCTAAGCCTGTAACTCTGCACCTAAGCCTGCATCTCCGTATCAGCGTATCAGCGTCAGCACAGGTGGCCTCTCTGCCTGCTCATTCCCCCCTTCCTTAGCTCCCATTTCCTGGCCTTCCCACGATGAATCCCCAGGGGCCAGCTCAATCTCCCCATTTGTTCTGAACTCAGAAAAGACAAATGACACAAATCTTACATTTAGATACTTAAGGAAGGTAGAAGAAAATCTGTTTATTAAAAAATAGAAGGAACGCTTTATCAAAACAGAGGGCCAATAACCCCAGGAGCTGAGCTCCTGCTCATGGAGGGCCTCAAATCAGTTTTCTGAACCCTGGAGAGCAGGCCGCGCTCCCGCCCATGGCTTTCCCCCAAACTCCCTCGTTACAGGAATTGCTGAACTGACTTTCCATTTATACCCGCCTCAACCCGACTGTTTCTTTCTCGTGGTCAAAGAATACTCATCCTCCCATCAAATTTGGCAGCAGCTGGGCTCCAGAGCACAGGTGGCCATGGCCATGCCTGTGCGGGTGAGCAGCCTCAAGACAGCAATAAAGTTTAATAGAGAAGTTTAAGAGAATAATAAAGCTTTACTCTGTTACCAACGCAGTGCTGCCACCCAGCCTCTCAGTTACCTTTCTGCTTTACATGGGGCCTGTAGGTGTGGGAGAGAAGGAGCCACTACTGGGCACAGACAGCTAACCTTGCACAGGGCAGGCACCGGGGTCCCCACATGAGACAGCACACAGGCACAGAAAGATGAAGAAGAACTTGCCCAAGGATCCAGAGTTAAGAAGCAGTAAATTCAGATTCTAATTCAAAGTCCATGTCCTTTCCACTGTATCGTGCTGCCTCCAGAGGCCGCACCAAAGCAGATCTCCCCCAGTCTTGCTCTTTACAATACTCCTGAGGGAAATGCTGAGTTACATGTAGACAAACGGTGTCTGAGGACGGGGTCTCTCACAGCCCAGGAGCACGGTGAGATTCCAAGAGGGGCACCCAGTCAGCAGCACTCCTCACACCGACTTGATCGTGGAACCCCCCTTTAGAGCACCTTATAGGCCTTGGGTTTAAGAAACATATTTGGAAAACGATTGCAGTAGAGGGCACTTGATCATATCCTAACCATCAGGAGATAGGAATGGCGAGGTGCTCACTTGGTGACCCAGCTTCTGCCCCATCTGTTGTCCCGAAGCTTCGAGGAAGCTGTGCCGGGGGCTGAGCTCGCCCTGGGCTCCTAGAGAAAACGGCCTTTCTTATTTGTCTCCTCCGTTGCCTCTCCATGCTGAGCAAGGTGCTTGGCCCATAGCCCTTTATCTAGGGTATCTCTGTCTGCTCCCACCCCACTGCCTTCCTGGAAGGCCTGCAGAGGTAGGAGGTAGAGCTGGGAGGCAGGGGGCTGCCACGTGGTAACATCCTCCCCCTCCCCCCACTGAGTCCTTGCGTGCACTGTGGGTGACTGAGTGGGGCCAAGTCCTGCTCCGAAAAGGCCCTCCTGCTCCACCTCTGCTCCCTCTGGGCCTTTGGGAGGTTCCTGGGAAGTGGTAAAAGTGAGTGCTGCCTGAACTTCCCCATCCAGTCCTCTGGAAAAGGAAGATCTTTTCAGAATGCAAATTTGATCATGTCATGCCCCTGCTTAAGAACTTTCAATGGTGTCCCACTGTTCGCAGGGCAAAAACAAAACTCTGGGGCCTGGAGAGTTTGGCCCCATCACTTCTCTGGCCCATCTCAAGCCCTCCTCCCATCCTGCTCCCTGGCCAATGTTACCTCCTCCTCGGCCATTAGACCTCAGCTGTAGAGGTCCTCGCTCAGGGAAACTTTTCCTGACTTCCTGACCAGGGCACACCCCCAGATTACGGACATTTATAGCATCACATACTTCTCCTTAATGGCCCTCAGCTTAGCTGCACATTCACTGTGTTAGATTATTGAGTAACATTGTCTTCCCCAAACACGGCAGCACCATGAGGGCATGGGTTCTGTCTGCTTTTGCTGTTGCCACATTCCTAACTCCCAGCAAGTGATGGGCTCACGGTAGCAGTTCCAGCTGCTGCGGAGTCAACTCTGACACAAGACAGCCCCATGTGTGTCAGAGCAGAACTGTGCTCCGCAGAGTTTTCGATGCAGATTGCCAAGCCTTTCTTCCGAGGTGCCCTTGGGTGGTCTCAAACTTCCAACCTTTCGGTTAGTAGCTGAGTGTGTTAACTGTTTACACAACCCAGGGACTCTGAGCACATGGGAAACACTCCATATTTACTGAAGCAATGAATGCGATGCCTGTTTCTTCTTCCCTAGTTCCCCCTTAACTCTTCCCAATTCCCCCTAGCTCCCCATCATCAATAAATAACAACCAAAACCAAATAAAAATAAAGAACAAAGCAACAGCAAAAAAACTTTGTTTGAAACTGCAAGCAACAGCAACTATGGGAAGCATAAAAAAGTCGTTTACAATATATCTGTGCTCTCCAGAACAGAATCTCTCTTTTAACATGGAGGTCTACTGTTTGACCTTCAGCCATTTGACTTTCAAACAAACTTTCAAGTACGCTTTATGTACAAGAGTAAAGGGCTGTCTGTAATTAACTTGCCAAAGGTCAGGCAGGGAAGGACAGCATTGGGGATAGGCTGGACACCATGGTGGGTCCCCAGGCCATGCCTTCCCTGCCCGTCTATGCTGCTCACAAAGGTGGGGCAGGCCCAGAGCTCATTTCCTGGGCCTCTAAGCATGTGGTCTGACCACTGCTGGGGCTCCTCTTCTAGTAAGGAAATGCTTGTACCTAATAAATACAAGTGCAGTCAGCTCCCAGTGCTACTCACTAAACAATAATGAAATGAAAAATGCATATCTAGGCAAGAAGCTGTTCGGACACTACCCAAGAAAATCGAGGAAACAAATTTCAGTCCCACCTGGGTATTATACATCTTTTCAAATCTATGAGACTGGTACAGAAATGGAAAAGACCAAATATAGTACAGTGGTTAAGAGTATAGGCTTTGCTTATGGGGTGGTCCATTTATTATTTTTTAAAGTATCAGCTATGGTGAAAAAAAAAAAGAATAGAGGCTTTGGAGTCAGGAGATTAAATCTTATATCTGTCACTTGCTAGCTACGTGACTTGACAATTAGTTCATTTCTCTGAGCTTCAGCTATTCTAACTATAAAATGGGACAATACTGTTCACCTTAAAGGGGTGTGGAGGGGATTAAAAGGGACACTATGTCTGAGACAATGAACACAGTGCCTTGAATGTGACAATGAAAGCTGCTATTATAATTGTCAGCATTGTTATTATTATGGTCAAAGGCCTTTTTTCACCAAGTATGCAGATTTAAACATGGGTTCAAGTCAGGCAGGCTAAGAGGAGAAGCATGTGGAAAAACTTGATTCATGAGTTCTTATAAATGTTGTTTTAAATCTCTTCTGAAGTAGAGTGAAATGAAAGGTGGCAGTAAGTTGGAGATTCTTGTTACGTAAAATTCTTATTGGTTATCACGAAACTACTGTGGACTGGAAGCTTATGGGTTGAGAGAGAAGATGAGAGAAAGCGAACAAGGGTCCACTGTGGGGTTTTGCCTCAAGCTGATGTTACGGACTTAATATAGTCATGCTTCACTTAATGTCCACAACATGTTCTGTGAAATAGGACATTATGTGATTTGAATGCTGTGAAAACACTATATTATATACTTAGCAAAGCTACATACGGTTCTCCAATCGGGATTTCTGAACTCTATAATAACCTTACGGGACCACGGACGTATATGCGGTCAGACACTGCCAAATGGATGTTACGTGGCCCATGACTACATATTTCCTCTTCTCTCTGTTCATTCCTTTAAACTTCTAACTGAAATGTATTGATTAGTACATAGATCCCAAAGCTTGAAGATTTAACAATCTTTACAATGTTTTGGTCTCCCTGCTTCTCCTCCCCTTCAACTTCTTAATAATTACCTGACAGACCTTTGATCTGTCACTTTTTCCCTCAGAATATCCCACCTAATCTGATTCCTAAATGACTAATTCCTCATTAGGCTGAATCTCTGCGTTAGTATCTTCCTCAAGATCTTCACCAGCCCTGGTGCAAACTCTTCTAGAAAACTATGTGGCAAAGGAGCAGTTAATAAACTATCCTTCATAACAGATTTAATTTTTTTTGCACACTTATTTTGTTAATACATTTGTTCCACTGAATCTCCACCTCTAACAAATCGGTGATGTAGAATTAAAATTACCGTCAGCCTATTTAACAGTTATATTTGGCCACTTGTCAAAAATCACAATAATCCTCCTTTGGAGTATTTATCAGAAAACGAAGTCTCAACTGTGCTCTCAGAAACATTTAAAATTTTCATTTTCTATCAGAGCAGTTAGGAGTGTGGCCTCCGACAACCTGAAATCCAAGTTTGAATTTAGTAGCTGTGTGTCTTTGGGCAAATGGCTTAGCATTCTGGACTCAGTTTTCTCATCCATCAAACTGGGATACTAACGGTACCTGTCCTCAGTGGAGTTGTTTTAAGGATGAAAAGAGATAAGGCATGCACGTGCAGGACTCTGGCTCTATATGTTCCATAAATGTTGGCTGCCACCCTACCATACCCCCTTTGCCCCATTCTATGGTTGTGGGACCATAATTGTGAGTTCAGACGCCCTGTGAGAGGCTCTCTTGGATACCACAGAAGGAGCACAGTTTTGCACGGTGTGATGTTTGCATCTCAGTGTAAGCCAATGAGAGGAGAGATCAGCACTGACTCTCCAGGGTCATAACCAGGGTTGAAAACAGGCAGGTCAGAAGGCAAACTGATTTTCACTCTTCACAGAGCACTTGTTTGGAGGAAAGGGCTCATATATGTTTAGTTACGTACAAAGCTATCTGAACTAAAGTATTCTGCACGGCATACTAACAGTAGAAAGGGATTTCAATTGTAGAAAAAAGCAGCTAGATTCTCAGATGAAATTCTTTCCTTTTCCCTACAAAAATGGATCATTTATTGTGCCACAATAAACTCAGACCTTCTGCTTTAAGTATTAGGTTAAAAAAAAGAAAAGAAAAACTGTACTCAACTCCAACAGTTAAGCCAGTCAGCTAAATAAGAAAGCATGGAATTGATGAAAAAAGAAAACCAGATTAAATTCTAGCCTCATTATCAAGATCAGATGTCAAGCTACTTCACCATAATTACCTGCTTAAAAATTTAATGATGCTTTTGCATGAACTTCAAAACTAAGATACTGTTATCATCCACTGAAAATATTTCTTAATGAAAGAATGCTTTACGCCCCGCCTCCATTTCAACAAAACAGCTACATGCCAGAGCCATGTATGGGATTAAACTATCCAGATCCTCTAATCAATGACATTATCAGAGACAACAAAAGAGCTAAGAGGATCCTTACGTAGTTCAACTGTAAATTCGAACTGCTTGAGTTACATTATTCCTGGGAGTCTACATATCATAGTGATATATAGCTAACAGAAAAGAAAGATGAAAATGATTTTTTGGCAAGTCAATGATAACCCTAAAGGCTATTTACCGTAATTGCTAAAACAATATCATTCTCAGATCAAAGATTTGCTGATTAATCTATAAAAATCCAAAAAAGTATGTTTATACCTATGGTACTCGGTTATCAGATCAAATTGGCCCTAAAGCAAGGAAGAAATGCTTAACCAATATGCATTTTAATAACTACTGACAACTGAAGAAAGATAAATGTTCATTAATGAAAGGCTGAAGAAAAATATGTTACATGATAAAAGTAGACGTCTGAATTTAGCTTTTTTTTTTTTTAGTAGACAACTGCAGCCCTCACAAATAACCAGTATTAAGGTTCTAATCCAAGCATGTATACTATGAATGTTAAAATAATGTAAACATTTTTTTATTAAGATAACTTATGATCTAAAAATAATTATGAACCAACTTGGTCAGTCTGAGTGCCTTGCAAAAAGAGCTGTTAGAAGATTAAAAAGGAGATTACAATATTGCTGTGCCTTCATGGGGAGTGCAGTCTAATGTATGATATTCAGTTTTTCACTCAAGTCATTTTGACTGTTTTTGTTTAATGACATGAAAACATCTTTCCACAAAGCCTCTCTCTAAGTAGCAGATCTGTACTAGTATGAAGGGAACAGTATTTCAAAGTTTAAAAAAAAAATGCGCACACATATGAACAAAAGTAACAGCTAAGAAAAACTCAGTTTAGTAATCACCTAGATTACAATTGTCATTGCACTGTCTTGTAACTCAACAAATTCCAAGACAATAACTTCTTTTCCTGAATTTATTTCTAAATTATTTATTTTTCTCTATTTATTTTTAAAAGAAGAAATAAGGAAGTCCAATGGGGAGGCTGCAATACCTTTATTACAATAAACAAAACGATAGGAAAGGTATGTTTTCTATCCTTAAGCAAAACAATGCTTAAAAAGAAATCTCCTTCATTATAGAATAAAATCCCATTTCAATGTATTATTTTATCCACCACCCACAAGTGTTTAAAACTGTCCTTGTGCAGTTTTCCCATGATGAGCCGAGGCTGACTTGCTGGACGTAATGATACCGTTCCTAGTGGCTGGTGGAAATACTCAAAGCACTAAGTAAGCTACTGAGGTTGTATTTACCAACACTGTGATGTGGTTTCCAAAAACCAAGCCTGTTGCCATCTAGTCAATTCCAACTCATAGAGACTCTACAGGACAGAGTAGAACTGTCCCATAGCGTTTCCAAGACTGCCACATCTTTCTTCTGCAGAGCAGTTTTTGGGTTTGAATTGCTGACCTTTGGTTAGCAGCTGAGTGCTCAACCACTGTACCACCAGGGTTCCTTGAGATACGGTTTAAAAAAAAAAAAACCAAACCCAGTGCCATTGAGTCGATTCTGACTCATACTGACCCTATAGGACAGAGACGAAATGCCCCATAGAGTTTCCAAGGAGTGCGTGGTGGATTCGAACTGCTGACCTTTGGGTTAGCAGCTGTAGCTCTCAACCACTATGCCACCGGGGTTTCCGAGGGGGAAAAATCCAAAACTCAAACGTTACTAAACATTTGTTTTTAAAATGCTCTGCTGTTTGACAGAATTCAATACTCTGCCCACCCCTCTCCCCTCACCCAGTCTGGTTTCTCTAGGCAGGCGAGTCTTAAAGGGCTTTAACTACTCACAGGCCATCCCACTGACAAAGAATTTGGCAGCTTGAGGGTGGGGTGCCCATCAGAAGACAGAAGGTGCTTTCTTTTGTTTGTTATCTGAAGGAGAAAGCTACTGAACCAGTATGTTTCTTTTTTAAATCTGATCACATAATATCAGTTACACCCATTTATATCTGATTTTGATAATGTAGAACATATATATTTGCTTTGGTTGCAGATTTAAACAGATAGCTTTAAAAAGCTCCTAAAAACCAACGGTGTTGACATGCATACAACTGAGCTATCCTTTACACTGATTTTCCTTACCTCAACGTCCTTTTTCAGTTTTTCCAGGAACACTTTTTTGTTGTTGTCATCAATATAAATCTTTTGGCCCTCATTAATGAAATCATTATCCTTTAAAGTTGGCAGTTCTTTGGCCTAAAACAAATGAGAAAAAGAAAGAAGTGTGAATAAAATCTAAAAACACTTATGCCCTCCAACCCTGGGAATGAAGTTTGTCCTCTTCACTGTAGGGGTTGTTCTCGTCAATGGAATGTGAGGTGGTTTAAGTACCGCAAGGGGGCACCAGTGAGCTATGACCACCGGATGCATTCCCACAAGGGATGGAGGGTTAGACATACTCCATATTATGAGGCTTTTGTAACATGTTCCTTATTTTTCATACGGATGAACCTGATTCCTTTCTTAGACTCACTTTCTTACAAACAGTCTTCTAAGTATAGAATTTATATTCTTGGAATACTTTGTCAGGAACCTTCAATTTTCTTCCTGGTATCAATGCAACTCTAAAAGATAGTTGTTGCAGGTTTTATGTTACAAACAGCATATTATCTTGTCTTAAAAAAGCCCCATCCATAATCATTATATCTAGTTTCTGATTCAGGGAGAACATGCAGCCAGAGGTTAGCCATCTACCCTGCCAAGTCTTCTTGTTTACAAGAGGAAAGTCTGCTCTCTTTTGGACAAAGTCAAAGAAAAATGTTATCATTGAACATAAAACATAGTAAGAGGAACTTTACACATAAATAAGAGGTTGAGCTAGTGAGTAAACTGCACTTCCACTGACCAATGCAAAGTAATGGGCAACTGTCAAACAATGGGTCACGCCAGAAAAAGCTAAGTTGCACCATGGCATATAGCATACAGGCAAATAATTTTAAAGTAATGTGGATTATTCTATTTAACTCGGTGCAACGTGCATTCTGAGAGTTCAAAATCAATCAAAAGCATTCCCTTCCTTTAAGTGAAACATAGTTTATTTTCTCCAGTTCAAAGGAATCCAACATAATATACTGTCTTTCTTGGTATAGCAATGAAACTCTGAATAGCTCTTTTCCATAAGTGGAACCAAATGAAAAAGAATAATCCAAGGAAAGAACCTATTCTCCTTGCTGGCCACCACACTGCCACCCCTTATTCAGAGTGATAAAAGAAAACTTAACTGGGTGTCTTAGTCATCTAGTGCTGTTATAACAGAAACACCACAAGTGGATGGCTTTAACAAAGAAAAATTTATTCTCTCCAACAATCTAGTAGGCTACAAGTCCAAATTCAGGGCATCAGCTCCAGGGAAAGGGTTTCTCTCTCAGTCTGCTCTGGAAGAAGGTGCTTGTGATCCATCAGTCTTCCCTTGGTCTGGAAGCTTCTCTGGGCAGGAACCTCAGGTCCAAAGGGTGCGCTCTGCTCTTGGTACTGCTTTCTTGGTAGTGTGAGGTTCCCATGTGTCTCTGTTTGCTTCTCTCTTTTATATCTCAAAAGAGATTGGATTAAGACACTATCCAATCTTGTATACCTCATCAGTATAACCTTATCATAGTGATAGAGTTTACAACACATAAGGAAATCACACATCACATCATCATAGGGATATAGTTTACAACACATAAGGAAATCACATCAGATTACACAATCATACAATACTGGGAATCATAACCTAGCTGAGTTGATACACACATTTTTTGGGGGACACAATTCAATCCATGACATTCTACCCTTTGGTCCCCCCAAAATCACATCCTTGCAACATGCAAAACATATTCATCTCATCATATCACAGCAAAAGTCTTAACTCCAAGTCCAAAATCCAAAAATTCCTCTTTATCTGTGAAATCTAGAATACAAGTTATCTGCTTCCAAAGGTACAATGGCAGAACAGGCACAAACTAGACATTTCCATAACAAATGGGAGAAAATGGAGAAGAAGGGATAACAGGCACCAAGCAAGTCAGCAGAATACACTACATTAACCCTCAAGGCTTTGAAAATAATCTTCTGTTCTCTGAGACAATTTACACAAAGCCCTGCCCTCCAGGACTCTAGGTATTGGCCACAGTCTCCGGATTCTGAGTGGAGGCCCCTCGGCCCTGGGCTTCAGCTCCGCCTTCCAGGCCCACTGGGATGGCAACTCTGCTCCCTTGGCTTTAGGCGCACCATTCCCCTAGTCCATCAGAGTGCCAACTCCACCCTTAGAAACACCAGAGGCCATGGCTCCACCCTGTGAAACTCCTGAGGTCCTGGCCATACCTTTTGAGGCTGAGGCAGCTCAGCTTCTTGTGTTCCTTGTCTCTTCAGCTTCTGTCTCCTGTGGACTCTTGGCTCTCGGGTCTCACACCTGCATTTGCCCTGCTGGGGCAAGTGTTCCAAAGCTCAGTAGCTCCACCAATAAGTGCCTGGAGGCACCCCACTCCACCAGTAAACTCTGGCCGGAAGGCACTCAGCTCTCTTGCTCCGTGGGTTGGCAAACCTTGCTCCACTGTTAAGTGCCCAGAGGCACCCTACTCAGCCAGGAAGCCTCCTGCGCCCAGGCACTCAACTCTATCACTCCGTAGGTGGGCTCCAGTGCTCTCTGGTGCTGGTCTCCTGGTTCTGCTGCTGCAGTTTTCTGCTGCTGCTGGTCCTCTGCCACTGCCACTCCTCTATCCGTTCAGTTTCAAAACCGCTTCCACATTTTAGGCATCTGTTAGAGCGGCAAGCACCCCACTCCTGGTACCAAATTCAAATTCTGTCTTAGGCATCTAGTGCTGATATAACAGAAATACCACAAGTGGATGACTTTAACAAAGAGAAATTTATCCTCTCACAATCTAGCAGGCTACAAGTCCAAATTCAGGGCATCAGCTCCAGGGAAAGGCTTTCTCTCTCTGTCGGCTCTGGAAGAAGTTCCTTGTGATGTATTGGTCTTCCCTTGGTCTGGGAGCTTCTCTGCACAGGAACCTCAGGTACAAAGGAAATGCTCTACTCCTGGCACTGCTTTCTTGGTGGTGTGAGGTTCCCATGTGTCTCTGTTAGTTTCTCTCTTTTATATCTCAAAAGAGATTGGATTAAGACCTATCCAATCTTGTACACCTCATCAGTATAACCTCATCATAGTGATAGAGTTTCCAACATAAGGAAATCACATCAGATTACACAATCATACAATACTGGGAATCATGACCTAGCCAAGTTGATACACACATTTTTTGGGGGACACAATTCAATCCCTGACACTTGGTGTATCTACTGAATCCTCTTTTAAAGCCGAATTTGCTCACTTTCCCCCAATTTTATAAAGTATATACATGTAAACATACAAACATTTATCTATACACACATATATACATACGTATTATACAATTCCAAATTAGTAGCTTTGACTACTAATTTTGTTGGAGAAGAGAATATTTGAACAGCTTTGAAATTTTGAGTTTGATAAAACTACTGCCAAAATAATTATCCTTACAAAGTAGACACAGTAAAACTCAGAAATCCAAAGATTCAATTCAATAAGCAGTTACTGAATGAACAGGTCAAATCTCTATTCTAAAGGAGTTTATAATCTAGAATGGGAGGGAGACATGAAAGTAGGTAGAAAATAAGAAAGTAAGAGAATATAAGATGTACAGATAATAAGATTCTGGAGGAGAGACTGAATGATTCAAACACTTTCATACCGAGTCTTACAAAAATAAAAATGCAACATTCTTCTTCACAAAACTAAGGATGTGCCTGATAAATTCACCCCCTAAATCTGTCATTAATAATTTAAAAATAATGTAATAAATGTAAAAATACACAAACAAAAAAACCAACCTGGAAGTATAGAAGATAACACATTAACATTCAGTGTTTCAGTTAAATGTTTGAGTCAATTACAGTAGACTCTTATTCCACTAGAACTGTAAACATAAGGAAGTTCCACAGTGAAGAAAATGTAGTGTTGTGAAGTTTAACAGAACTCATTCAAAGGGCAATATAAGCACTGCCCAAAATACAAAATGGAGAGCGACTCACAAGGGTTGAAGCCAGGTCTACACACAAAACCAGACAAGATGGAGAAGGGTCGTGACTCTCCTACCAGGCAACTTGGGCACTTCTATGTTTCGGCGATGAGGAGGGGTGTGTGTGTGTGTGTGTATGAGGGAGAGGTGTTGAGGATTAAGATATCTGTCTCAACTCCACAACTCATTTTATATGTGTAAAAGAAGGGGAGAGGGATTTTTTTGTTTTTGTGTACGAGAACCTTGAAAGCAAGGATGATGGACTACAGACAAGGCAGTAAATTACACATTAGATATGTGTTTGAAATACAAGTCACATTAATGAAGATGGATGCCATTTTGGGTTCACCCTAGCAGAATTACCTCATGTGACAGAGAAAGTATAATCCTACCTCATAAAACTCTGGACACCCTGTACTATATTACTAAGCTTACTTGTGAATTTCATAGGCACTAGGGACATATTTAGATTGGATCAAATTTAAAAAAGGACAACCAGATTGGCTAAAAGACTTAAGGGCTTATTGAAGGGATCAACAGACAAAGGCATATCCTTAGCATGGCAGCTGCTGGAGAGGAATCCAACACTGGTGCACAAATACCCACCTCCCAAACGTTTGCTGTATGGCAGAGTGCTTAGAAGCATCAGGGTTCAGAGTTATGAATTCTGAGGTTCCAATCCTTGTTCCACCCCTTACTCACCAGGGACCAAGGACCAGTTTCTGGGTCTCTACAGACTGTTTCCTTATGTGTAGAATGGGGGAAACAGCAGCAGCAGCTTTACACCCTGTGCCAAGCCCTTTATCTGCATCTTCTCCTTTTCTTTTTCTAACAACCATAACTATTATTCTTATACTCATTTTACAGAAAAGGAAAGCTGAATTTAGAGAGATTATGCAATTTCACTAAGGCCTCACAGCCTGGTAAATGGAGAGCTGAGATGTGAACCCAGGCAGCCTGACTCCTAATCACTACTACTGTAGAGCTGCTCTGAGATTTCAACAGAAAATATGTGTGACCATCTAGAACAGTGAGTGATAATAATCATCACCATCATCGTGAGCATTCAGTAAACTGTAGTTATTGTATAGAGTTAAAACCAGAATTATAGGCTGAGAGACTGCATGCTTTCTTAAAAAAAAAAACAACAACAACAAC